CAAAAGGACAACTGATATTACCAACTTTTAAAAACTGTCTATGGTGTATAATGATGTGATTGTGATGCTGTAATTCTGAGTGTTTTATGTGCTGCAGAACAGGAACCTGCTGTAAAACAGCAATTATGCTGAGTCAGGCTTGATTTTTAATGGTCTTTTCCTGCTGTATATAAAATCAACTTTTACATGGAGTTTATGCTTTAAACTAAATTTGCCATGGTCAAAATCAGATTTTGAAGCAAACCAAGTGTTTGCTGGAAACTAATTTTGAATGAGGAGGATGAATGTAGGGATTCAGTATCATAATTTAGAAGTTTATCATTTGTACTATAACCTCTACAAATCATAAATCACTCTTTATCATCCAGTTTACAGTTTAAACAATAAAGAGGCACAAGTGTGAAGTGAAAAAAAAAGCATTCAAAAATCTTTTTTAAGAGTTTAGATGTAGACAAAATGTTTCTTGTCATTGCTCAAGTATAACAGCAGTTTATTTTTTGCTGCATAGCTGAGTTCCTTCTGGTTAAATGGTTATCCATCCATCCATCCATTTTCTGTACACGCTTCTTCCTTTTCAGGGTTGCGTGGGTCACTGGTGCCCATATCCAGCAGTCACAGTGCGAGGGGCGGGGTACACCCTGGACAGGTCGCAAGTCGCAAGTCCATCACAATACTAAATGGTTAGTATTCTTAAATAATAAAAATGGCTTTACTGGACCATTCCCAGCTGAAATTGCTGTCCCAGTTTGCAACAAATCTAGTGAGGATTTTCCTGTCACCAGTAAAATCACAGTGTCTCCGTAACTTTCAGGGCTATGCACTGTTTCCATAAACAGCTTCACAGCGTGCAATCCTTCCCCACATCGTCTTTTTGCTGTGGATTGGGAATCTTGGTCATGGTAATTAGAATATTAGTGACGACGTTGGCTCCGCCTCCTGAGGCCTTGGAGCTGTGCTGCATACTGACGTTGTCACCRCTGGTCTCCGGCTCTGCACGACGGAAAAGATGTCTCATGGTGGCCTGTGGGCAGCAGTWGTGGTAAACAAGTAACTAATAAAGTGACTGAAAAGGTGATGAATGGACAAATGATGCTCTAGATGTGGGGGGGACAGAGAGGACAATGTTCAGKATGAGACAGCCAAACATTCAGGAGGGAAACTTACCTTGAAATTATTTGTTACAAAACAGTAGACAACAGGATCCATACAGCTGTTCAAACTGCTCAGAGTGACCGTTAAATGGTATACGATCACATGATGGGGCATGTCTGGGTAGAAATACACCAAAACCTGCAACACAAAAAGACCAATCATTCTGTCATGGAGTGACGTGTGAGGAGCCCAATGCAGGTGAGCAGGAGGCTCAGCTTCTGGAAAACTCTGACGACTCCAACAGGGCCTGTCAAAGTGTCCACAGTAAAAAAAAAAAAAAATACAAGAAATCTGGTCTCAAAACTCCAAAACAACTGCGCCTTCAACACGTCGAACTCTGGAAGTCTGCAATAGTTCCACATGTAGGAGAGACCGGGGACGGTTGCAACACATTTTGCATTTGACTCTGTTACTCAGAGATGGTTTGAATTAGACAAACCAAATTTTAATACAATAAACTTACATCTGTCTGTTAATTGTTAAAACCATTTATAGGTGATTAAAGCATGTACATTCTTCACTATTTGCATTTCAGTTGCAACATTGCTTGGGGGTGGTTACAACATATTAATACAATATATTTCACTGAAAATAAGTTTTATTATTTTTATATTTATATT